AATATTTTCTCTAGTGGCTTTAATAGGGGAGCCTATATACGAATATTTTATTTTTTGAAAGGGTTTGGGGCCAACCCAGTATGGATAGGATAAAGGGTTGCAGGGGTTGGGGCGAAACTCGAGAAGAGAATGGAAGATAACATGGACAATGAAATGCGCACTGGGGTTTAGGTTTGGCGTTTTGGGTCTAGTTAAGGGTTTGGCTGTTTCTCAAAATTGGGGGCCCTGAGGGGCTCTAGGCATATATGAAGATCAAAAATGGATTGTGGAGGTTCCCACGAAGGATTCTACAGCCTTGTGAATTATGAGTTCAGGTACTGCCCTCACCCAGTAGCAGTCTATAATAGGGATACTGTTAAGGGCTATTTACAATCATATTATTCTTTTCAGTATGTAACTGTGAATGAGTTTGGGAAAGTACCCAACTTCAAAAGCAATGCTTAGGACCTGAAGGGGTTCCCACATAGCTACTTTGAGGCCCGAGTATGTACTCCCCAAATGCTATATAGCTGCATGGACCCTTCGGGGTTGAAAAGCAATGCATCCAGGCATTAGCTTGCCGGAGCCTATCGCGCCATGCGCGACGGACGAGGCCTTCGGGCATGCACAGCTTTAGTTGTTTTTGATTATCAGGGCGTAGGTTTCAGGGGTATCGGGTTGAGGGTTTAGGGGTATATGTGCATACATGGGGACATATGAGAGGGATGGATGTGACGGGATAGGTGAGATTTAGGATTTAGGGCTTTATACTTGCTACTGGCCTCAAAACAGTAACGGATGGTTACCAGGTGTACGCAGTCTTTTGTTTTCTGGCCCTAAAAGTTAACCGTATTCAGTGCTTTTTGTGGGAGTGTGGGGGTGGGTGGTGGGGGGAAATAATTTCCATTAGGGCTTACGGTACGGAGTAGTTTTGTCCTCAATCCTTACAACTACAAGAGTCACAGGATACAGCATGCTATGCGGGCTTGGGCAATCCAAATCTCCTTCTTGTTTCGAGGTCAACGTTTTAGGGTACCTGTCCACCCACATGTAGGTATGTGTATATATATATATAAATATCTCCCTCTCTGTGAGAGAGAGAGAGAGAGAGAGAGAGAGAGGGAGGGGTGTACTGGGTGTAGAATAATAATCCCCAACTAACGGCTGTTAGCAAACCCTCAACCCAAAAGCCTGAACCCTAACAGATATGTGCTGTGAACGTCCATTGCCTGGGCCATCAACAAACCTGCGAAGAAAACCCTGAACTGCCCAGACACATGCTTATGGTTTAGGTTTCTTGGTAGAGGGTTTCAGGGGGATGAGGATTCTTTTAGGGGGTTAAAGGGTTTAGAGTTTAGGGGTTATACGATTTAGGGTTAGGGAGATATCAGGGTTTAGGGTCTGGGGTTTAGGAGACACTGTCATCCCGTGTTTAGACTTAAGAGTAAGATGTTATTCCCGTACTGGTTTCAGTAGTTAAACGTTTGGAAGAAGCCGGGGGGACCCACGTGAAGACCCCGAAAATTTTTGACCCTTAAGATGGGACCCCATAGAGGGACCCCAAATTTATGGAAAACCTCAAACGAATGTATCCTCATGTAACCCACCATCCCTACATATCCCTAGTGCTCCTGAGGGCTCCGCATCGTGAGAAACTCCCATAAACCCTAAACTTTGAACCTAGGAATATTACCTGGTTAACCCACACAGAAACACTGCTCGGGTGGAGGCAGTGGCGGCAGCCCCGATTTCACCGATAACGACGCCGCACTTCGCGATGACGGCCGGCGGCCGGGGCCTGACAGCGGAAGGGAGGTGGATAAAATATCTTGGGGGTCTTCAAACTCTGTATGGGTTTAGGGTATAGGGCTTTCTGCAAGTAGGACCCTCTGGGTGTAGTTATAAGGGTTACGAAGGGGCTTGGAGGGTCCCTATTGAGGTTGGAGATTCATATGGGGTGGGGAGAGCCAGAAGAATGGGGAGGTTCATATGGTAGATTCCTAAAATAATGGGACCCCAATACAGACCCCAAAATACTATAGTCCTTATTATAAGGACCCCCAAAATGGTACCCCTAATTTTGGGAAACTCCCATATACTTGAGAGTCCTTACTCCCAAGACGGCCTTCCAGAGTTTTGGAGCCGCAGACCCAAAGCCCTATACATCGCTGTTCAGACTTAGGGTTTAGGGCAAGATGTGATCATGTATGTCCCTAGAATACCCTGGTAGTGTCCTTGTAAGTTTTTTACAGTGAGCCAGCAGGATCTTGAGATGGCAGCGTAGAAGTGTAAAGAGTCCTTCCCTGAGTTGGTAACATGTAACATTTCGGCGTCTATAACCTTATAGCCCTTCAGATCGTGGAGCCCGCCATTTTTAAAACCCCTCACCCTAAACCCTAAACCCCACTCGCTGAACCATCGCAGCGCAGAAATGCAAGGGTTTTGGACTTAAGCTTCGATTCTGCTGCGGATGGCAGGCTGTCCTTATGAACCCGTAGATTCAAGGTTTAAATAGTCGCTTTAGGGATTAGGAAATCTTGCGCCATGTTTTTGACTCCCTACCATTACTGGAGCTGTGTAGGGTGGTATAACATTGCAGTATTAGGAAATCTTGCACCATGTAAAATTTAGTCGACTGCCACAAATAATGTAACTACCGTTACTGGAGCTGTGTAGGGTGGTATAACATTGCATTCGTCCACCGTATGAACCCCTACATCTAGGGTCAAGTGCTATCCCAGTTACCCCGAGCCCAGCACGTAATCTGATGATTGCAATATTTGATTCCAGGGGTTGTTTGCGTTCCCACGAGCCGTTTCTAACCCATCATAATGGGTGTGTATAGGGTTCCTGTCATGTAGGGCCTAAGTACATAGTGTAAATACCAGTATTGAGGTCTATTTGAGGTACCGTCTACCATAATACAAGGACTCTGGGATCACAACTTTGGTAATTTTTATGGCTACTACACTTATCCCTATACACCCTTACAAAACCCCATGTTCAATTCCACGCTCCATTTTCTTGTCCAATTGATTCTGCGTTATGGGGTCGTACCCGTAAACCATCAACCCTACATATGTGAAGAAATACACACACATACATACATACATATATATTTATATGTATATATATATACATATTCAGCTTCAAGACCCCGAATTTGTCGTGAAAAGACAAGGGCGCGCCTAGGAAAACAGTGGTCTGTGATGCCAAGGTTGCTGCAACTGCGCCTGCTGCACAGGCTGCAACGGAAACATTTGCACCTGCAAGCTGTGCTTCTGCGCTCCTTTCTGCACCCCTGCAGGCGCTGGACAGAGTCAAAGGTCTGGGATTGAGGTCAGATTGGCCAGTGTCTGGTGGTGGTGGTCGTGGTCATGGTACTCGGGTGGTCGTAGTGGTCGTGGTGGGTCGGTGAGTGAATGGGCTTCGACTGTATGGTTCAGGAGCGCAGGTGCAGCCAAGAGTAAAAGCCAAGAGATGTGTTTGCGGAGCATCTTCATTTGAGATGAGACTTGCCAAGGGAATCCTGACGGCCTGCAGAACCTTCTGTTTCATCATCATGGTTTAGGGTTGCAAGTAATTATGGAGTTTGAGGTTTGGGGGTTTAGTGTGGACACCCGGAGATCAGCACCTCGCCTTCGTAGAGCTCAACCTCTCATCTCGCGGAAAACTGTACCTACTATAATGGAGAATCAAATGGAAAAGAAAATGGAAAATGAAAAATGGAAACTGGGTTTATATAGGGGATTATAGGGATTAGGGTTTCCCAAGAGCAAATAAGGGGTAGACTAGCTCATCCCAATGGAACTCGAAGTTAGGCAGTGCGATAGAGCGCTTAGCCTAAGTCCTAGTTTTTAGGATTTGAGGCAGTAGGCTTGCCTTGGCAAAGCCCCGAGGCGGGGCCTGTAATCCTCTCCTAAGAACCACCCACTCCCCCCCTCCAAAAAAAAAAAACAGAAACAATTTCTCATTATGGTACCACCGTTTACATACATACACATATGTATATATGTACTAGGGGAGGAGATTGATTAGAATAGGGCTTAGGGGTTGGTTCTACTGTGGTTGTACCAGGGTGGTATGATTTGATGATAATCCTTTTTGTTCAAGCCCCTACCAAGAAAGCTGCAGGCCCCCATAGGGTTCTGGGGTTTAGGCTTTGAGGTACGGATTTAGGGTTTAGGATTCATGTGGTTTATAAGTATAGTTAAGGGTTCTGGGTTTCAAGTTTAGAGTATCAGTTAGGTCAATCCCCCTTACAGCAATAGCCCTTAGATACGGAGTTCATAAGGCCTTAATATACTTACAATAGTCGTTTGGGTGGGAGATTGAATCAAGGGATCAGGGCTTCAGATAATTAAGGGTGTCAGCTTGTATGAAGGGGTTCAGATATCAATTTGAGTTTTTTGGGTGGTGGTTCAGGTTTGAGTGGGTCCAGCGTTTAAGGTTGCAATGTCAAGGGCTTCAGTTTCAGGCTTTAGTTTCTTGTGGTGTTTTTTTTTTCGAGGTTTGCGCCTTAGTGCTTCAGGTCCGGAGTTTCCATTTGTGGCTTCAGTTTTAGGGACGTGGGTCTCAGAGTAGGGGGTCTTGACGAACACCACATGTTGCATCCGTACTTTCAACCCTTCCAGCCAAAAACACCCTAAGGCCTTAACCCCTAAACCTGAAACCCTAAACACCAAAACCTGAACCCTAAACTCTAGAGCTCCTAAACCTGAAGCCCTATAAACCCTAAAACCTGAAAAGCTAAACCCCTGAACCCCTAGAGCTGAAACCTTCGAAAGTATACTGGCAATAACGGCGTGCCTCCAACCTGCGAAGCACAGAGCCTGTTGTAATCGGGTTATATAGGGGTTTTGTGGGGTTTCATAGGGGTTATATTGAGATAATGGAAAAGAAAAAGGAAGCTATCATTTAGGGTTGAGGGATTAGGGTTCAGTTTTCGAGCTCGTGCTTTAGGGTTTAGGGCTTAGGGCCGAAGGGTCCCTGCAAAGAGGATGCAGGGGTTATGCAGGTGATATAAAAGTATATACACATGTTACATACACAGATATGGCGCGTTTAGAGGGTCTAGATTGTGGTTCAATTCTATTGTATGCAAGGGCGCATAGCGTTCTGCAAAGAATAGAAGAAGCATCCTTTAATGAAAACAAACTACGGCGAGATCATGTAGAGGCCTGATGGAATCGAAGCATGACAAACGTGTTCCCCAGTAGTATTGAGTAGTATTTAATCTGGGGGTACTATGGTACCAATATAGAGTAAGATTATATCCTCCTTTTGGGGTACAGTAGTTTATATAAGGAATATAGTCTTACTAGGTTCAATCACCAAAAAAAACGCTACTCTATTGAGGAATGTGTGCCTCAAAAAACTCAGACCCCTGTAGTGGTGAGGTACTCCTGCCCCTGCCTTCTCAGGGCGTTCCAGTGCGTTTGCTTCGCCTGGTCCTGTCACCACCATGATGGCTGCCAGCGCGCCCCAGGTGCAGCCTGTTTAGGGCTTCAGGTCTCAAGGGGATATAGCGGGCATGAAGAAGGTATAGGGTCTTGAAATGTGAGAAAGAAAGTGGACAGTAAAGGGTTAGTGACGCAATTCTTGCTTGGATGCCCGCGATGGCCCTCATGAGCCGTAGAGACTACATATTCTTCGAGGTTTCCAGTGAAGATAAGTGACAGTCCCGCCTTAAGTAGATAGAATATGGGGTATATGGGGATCTAATTATAATATACCCAAGGCCATATTCTACCCACTTAAGGGGGACCCCCCTAAACCCTAAACCCTGTATTCTATTTACTTAAGGGGGACTATAGACCTTTAGTCATGGCTGGGCTCAATCTTTTTTGGTACTCGCTCCTCTAACCAGCAAAAAAGCGCTACTCATTTGCCTAAATAGTGGGACCCCAAAATTGACCCCCCCAACTACCCCTGATTCTTGGACAGAACCCAATGTGGAGATCCCCTACACCCTAAACCCCTAAACCTCTAAGTCCCCTACACCCTAAACCGCCAAATCCCTAAACCCCCAAACACCCTAAAGTCCTGAAACCCCTAAATCCCGAAGCCCCCTACATCCCTGAACCCTAAATCTTATATTTGTGGTTAAGGTTTTAAGCAGGGAAGCCCAAAGGGGACCAGCCCTCCCTTCCAGGGAGCCCCGTAGAAGGAGGCCCGCGGGGGGCACCTTGCATGGCACCTTCTTCGGGATGCCTTTATGAGTCCAACTGGGCAAGCTAACGTCTTTCACAATCTGCATTTCCGGTGAGCTCTTGAGCTCGTTCGCAGTTTCGAGGACACTAGTAGCTTGCACTTGGGGATGTGGAAAGGACCATGGTAGAATACACCCAAGAATCCTATTCTAACAATTTGTCTAGGCCTCGGCATTACAACGATCAAAAGCCTCCATATAATATAACCCCTATATATATGTATGTACCCTAGAATCCCTATATAACCCATTATAGTAGCTTCTATGTTCGTTTTCCCTTTAGGACCCCGACATATTATATATATATACATATACACCCCATTGTAATCCCCATTAAAACCCTACACCCTAAACCTTAAATCCTAAACCCTAAACCTGTAAACTCCAGTTCCAGTTTGCTTTTTCATTGTCTTGTCACTTTCTCGTCCTAATATGTTCCTGCATGAACCCTTTCAAGGGCCTTAACCAATCCTAACCCGCTCCCAACCATATAGCTTTCCCACCCTTCTTGATATTCGATTTTCCCTTTGTACTGTTGTGAATCTGTGCTTGGTTTTTGTTAGGGGAGGCCGAGGGGGGGGGGGCTAACATTACGTGGCGGGGATTAATCACCTTTGATTCTTCACATCCCTGCATATCCATCTATAGTACCCATTTCTCCCTACATGATCCCTTTCAACCAACCTGCCCTGTATCGCAAAACCTTAACCCTAAGCCCTAAAGCCGAAACCCTCAAACCTGAACCCCTACCCTTTAAAACTTACAACTAATTGTAGTAGTTTCCAGTTTCTTTTCCATAATCCCGATATAACCCCAATTTACTGCAGTAAGATAATATTAGGGACCTGTTCAAACACCTGTGGGTGGAGGCTGAAGTGCAGCCAGCTGTCAGCACGCTTTGCGGCAGCTTAACACCCACCCTGAAGGCCAGCTGGGTCCTGATCCCAGGAAGTATACCCCGGGTTTTAGGGTTTAGGGGTTTAGGGTTTAGGGTTTAGGGTTTAGGGTTGAGGGTCTAGGGTTCAGGCTTTGGGCATTTTACACCACAGTACGCCTTTATGTCAGGGAGTCCCTCCAGCCGCTTAAAGTGTATAAGCGAACCCGTGTTATATATTAGGGGCAGTTATCGTAGGACAGGAACATTAGGAGGTGTATATAATGAAATCATTTTGAAATCTAACTGATCTCCCATCAAAAGCTAGTAAAAATCCCAGTAAGTCTTGCTTAGATCTAAAGAACCAGTTACAATCTATTTTAGATCAACTGAACTCCAATCACCTCCAAGTAATACCACGCAAACGCCGGGTAAAACCGTAACCAGACCAGCAAAAGCCTTTTCAACATCTAATGATAATTAGTTGAATTCCAATTTCAAACTAAAGGCAACTGAAATCTAATCTTAGTTGCAATCTGTTTGTAATGTTTTAAATTCGTAAGAAAACCTATGAACATTGTACATTCCTTCATAAAACAGTAACCAGGATCTTGGACAATATAGAGGGGTTAATACTATGGGGAAGGGTTAATGGAGAACCAAATGGAAAACAAGGAGTAATTATATGGTTTTCTTGCATAAGCATAAATGTATATATGTATCTATACATATATATATATACCCATATACGTACATATACACACATGTATATATATATATACATAGAGAGAGAGAGAGAGAGAGAGAGAGAGAGTCATGTAGGTCTACTCACATACATACACACATACACACACATGTAAATATTTATAAAAATATGTATATATATATATACATACACCTACAGATGCATGTATGTAGGCGTTTATAGGGGCATAAAAGGGCATAGAGCAATACGTGGGCACATGCAGGTGCAGGTATTTTTCTGTGATACTTATAGGGCTTTAAAGGGAGATACAGGGATATGCAGGGTCTAGGGATGTTACGCCACTATGGGAGAGTCGAATGGAATGATGACAGGGTAGTGATATATGATGATTTATAGCTTCGAGGGTTTGGGATTTGCCGGGTCCTGGTTGCTCATTTGGCATCTTTTGTGAAGACCAGGAAGGAATGCAACATTGTGCGTGTCATATCCTAATCCCTTAACCCTAAACATTGTCCTTCTAGTACGGAACCACTGCTTTAAGCAGAAAGGATTGTATCCGCCATTGGGGGGGGTCAACTTGAAAAGAAATTCGCAGAGGAGATGGTATCTGGTATCATGTTGAGAAAGTGAGTTGTAATGTATAGGGTCTAAGGATTGAGGCCGTTGGTTTAGGGTTTGTGGGTTAGATTCTAGGGCTTGGGGTAAAGTTTTGGGGGGCTTAGGGGCCCTTTTTATATCGTACTTACCCTAAACCCTAAGCCCTGGGAGGTGGGTTCCCTAGAGGAACTGCAAAAAAGGTCCCTTTCCTTCTTTTTTTGTTAGGATGAAGCGAGCGAGTCCTTTGGACTAGCGAGTTTCTTGTAAACAACTTCTAGACCCTTGAAAGGGGGATATAGGGGTTATATAGGGATATTATAGGGAGGTATAGGGTTTAGAGTTTTGGGGTTTAGGTTTAGGGTTCAGAAATAATAGCAAGAATAGTAAGAATTTAGTAATAATTCAGCTTGTTAATACATTAATAATACAGTCGTAATAGTAATGCAAGATTGGTTGAGGGTTTTTGGAGTTAAGGGGGGGTTTAGGGTTTAGGGTGTAGTTTCATTGCTCAATGGTAATAATATAGTAGTGTGGTAATCCTAGTGTTCAGGAGGCATACCCTCATCATGGTTTCCTAGACATCCCTAAGCTCTCTACGGGCCAAGCTAGCTTGGAAAATGGGGATGCTTGTGCGGTTTAGGGTTTAGGGATGTTAGGGATACTTTCCACATAGAGATGCCGTGGATTTCTTCTCTTGTTTGGCAATGGTTCTGGCGCTGTTTAGTGTTTAGACCACTGGATGCCAACCCACTATCCCAATACGTTCCCAAACCCGCAACTTGAAATCCGCAAACCTTACCCAATCGCGACATGTATTTGCAGGTTCAGTTTAGGGCAAGTACAGCTCACGCGCCCTGAGCCCCCAAGCCCGAGAACCCTAAGACCAAAGCCCTAAAATCCAAAAGTCTCAGAACCTCATTAAACCCTCAAGCCCTGAAACCCTGAAACCCTCAACCCTACAGCCTTGGAACCCGCGCCGACTACGCAACAGGGGTCCTTCACACCCCAGCTCTGGCTAGCACTTCCAAAGCTCTGTACTTAAGGACTATATTGGTTTTGACTCAGCCTTGTAGTAGTGGGGTAGTAACAACATGCAAGGGACACTAGAACTAGAACAACAATTATCCTTCGTGGTCTCTATTCCTTGGGTTGGGGCCCAACCTAAGGAATGCACAAGCACATGCAGGAATGTTAGTACACGATCTTATGTCATGTATATGTATGTATATGTGCGTATATGTATGTGTATGTATATATATATATATAGTCATTTATTCATTTATTTACGCAGTGCCCAAAACATAAGGAGGGGCCCCTCTGTGTGGGGAGTCCCTGTAGAAGGGACTGTGGTATTTTGGGGTCTATATTGGGCCCCTAGTTAGTCCAATACTTGACGCCAAAGAAAACTTGATATATAAGCCTATAAGGCACTATAGACCCCATGTATTCCTCATTTCTCAACCCTAAACCCGAAACACTAACGCTGAAACATTTGTCGGTAATTTAAGTCCCTTAAATCCCTATATTCCCTCAGTTTCCATTTCATGTTCCATGTTCTTTTGATATTTGATTCTCGATTATAGGGTGATAAACCCCAGCCCCACAACCCCAAAACCCTAAACCCCTAGACCCTAAACCCTATAGACCGTAAACCTTGGGGACACCCCTGGAAGGTCCGGTCTCAACGTCACTCAGGCAAGCGCCGGGCCCATGCCCAGCGCAGCACGAGGTCTCGCGGTTGCAGCGCGAGTTTTGAGGTTTGCATTGGGTCAGGGTTTAGCTACGCAATTTACAGCGATCTCTCCCGACCTCACCCTCAATGATGTTTTATGTATGGAAGAGCACCAAAATGACCTTAGTTGAGAGTTGATATTATCCTAAATTTCCGTGTCTAGGGCTGATTCAAGATTTATGTGTCAAGGGATTAGGGTCAGGTTTTGGAGTTCAAGGTCTAAGGTTTAGGGTTCAGGGGGGCTCCATCTGATGAATTTTCCTTGGCGCCTACATCGTGGGGTATAGGGTTTAGAGCTAGGTAGGGGAAAGCCCAAAGTATAACCAGGTGATATCCTATATTCCCGCAGAGGCAGAATTACAGATAACATCATTCATTCAATATACCTACCTACCTAGACGCTCCACTGTATGTAGAGTTTTTTGGGTAGTCCTGACCAGAGTCTTAACCAACAAGCCATACCAAACCCAAAAAGGAACTACATTGGAGGGTCTAGGTAGGTCTTGGATTAGGTCTAGAGATCTGTGCGTTGTAGGAGCGGGATATGAAGGTACAGCTTAGGCTGAAACCTCCCAAAAGCACGGCGTGCGTTGGCAAGCTCTGATTCGGAAGGCGAAGAGGTTCCCATTCTCAGAGTTTCTTCAAATCAGACGTGTAAAAGGCATACTACGGTGGATGGAGATTTGCACCACGGTTTAGGGTCTAGGGTTTAGGGGTTTAGGGTTTAGGTTACTAGAATTACCATTATTGGGGCCATATAGAGTGGTGCGGGATTTCCTCCATCCACAGTAGGACCCTGCATTCATTTTGTAATCCCCATACATTGCGTTGATCCCCCTAGTAGGCTTGTTGTGAGAAACTCTGAAACTCCATTTCAGTTCTTCTGTTTTGCAGAGCCAGCCCTCCAGAATTCCACGGTCGACCCTTTGGCTATACCTCCCTTACACCCTACCCGTGACTCTGTTGGGGTTATATTGGGATAATATTGAGGTTTTGTTGGGGTTGCATTGGGATAATTGAAAATACATGGAAACTACTATTCAGGGCTTCGGGTTTAACATTCAGTTTAAGGGCGGTGCACCACCAACAAAGGGGTTGAAATTCTAAAGCTGCAGGTACATGGAGCCACATGCATGCTCAGGCATACCACCTGCGTACTGCGGCTTCAGTTCATAACTGAAGCAGAACCCATGCCAGTCAAAACGTGCGTGTGGACGATTTTGTAACCACAGCACAGAAAATGCCAATCGGGGAAAACGTCTGTAATCCCTACATATCCCTTGGGTACGTAGCGTAGACCTTACTTACACCTGTACAGGTCCTAAAACCTACCAACCAACATGGAAGCCTCTGTAAGCTTCTTAGGAAAAGATGTTGAATCGAGGGTAGGCCACTAAGGGTTAGACCCCGGTTGGGGGCATCTGTAAAGCAAGGAGCGCACGCCGGGCCACTGGTGCACGCTTGATGTCGAAGCCCACCGTGGTGCTGCTGGTTTGGGATAAAAGGTTTCTGGGTTACACAACCTCAAAGCCATATCAGCTTTCATGTTTGTCTGGGGCAGGGTAGAATTTTGGGAGTTGAGAACGTGCAAGAGAGGTATGTTTTATAAGCTTATGGTTCTTGTAGGGCGCTCCAGCATACGCAACGTGCCATATGAGGGTACATGATTGCGGCGCGAAGGGTGAGGGCAGCATCCAGGATGCATGTCACATGGCCGATTTCTCAAGCAAGGGGTTCCTGAGGGGCCCTAGGGATATCTTCTTCGGATATCTGCAGTCAAGGATTCCAGTCATAAGATTCGAGCTTCGAGGATGTATGATTCTGCATCATAAACATCTAAAGAGCTAGAGAAGTGCCACTGGGATTTTTCTCTGGGCTTGAGGGGCAGTAACTCTGTGCTTCAGAGTTGCGCTTAGCAACTTGAGATTGAAATGCCGCCTGTATTGTCAGGGGCAAAATGGGCTTCATCTGAAATGGGCTGTCAGCTATGCTGCACCCAGCGCATGTGCAGTAGGTTTCTATTCTAGGATCATTTGCAAACGGTCCAGGGTGTGGATGAGGGATAAGGGGTTTTACTAGGGCTTCTTGTCACCATTCGCTTAGTGGTTGCTAGTAGGGAATAAGGGAATACGAACTCTGTATAGCTCCTGTAATAGATTCTCTTTCTCATTCCCTACTAAGCGCTAGTAAGATAAGCAGAGGGTCTAACCTGATCCATACCCAAAGCCGGAGGTGCCAACTGTCCGATCTTTTGACATCAGCAAGGCTGGGCACGATTTTCTGCCTGATCTAGGCTTCTGAGTTTTCAGGGCTGTTTAGCTTTCTGCGCTAGAAGCCGATGATTTGCTGAGATCACAACTTTCACCAGGGCTTCAGGCCGTGTCTAGAGTGTAGTGGAGGTCGCCTGGTCTATTTGTTTGGAACAGACTAACTCAGACCCTTTATTAACAAACCCCTTCCCCTCAATAGGGATTAAGGGATAGGGTAATATTAAGGGCCTGAAAAAGGGGGGGTTTATTAATCAGGGGTCTACATCAACACCAAGTTCTAGTCTTGGAAACAATGCTACTGCCTTTTTTCTTGAAGCCAGCTGAGGGGACGGCAAAGGCTACGGAATCAATATTGCTAATATTGGGAATATACAGCCGGATAATGAAAAATGAGATGGAAAGTACTATTTTAGGGTTTAGGTTTTACGGGCCTAAACCCTAAACCCTACAGGAGTGTGGCAACCTCAGGCTTTCTGGTAGTTGCTTCGGAATTGAGGAATTGATCCCTAGAACAGTTCCGATGCGCGGTTAAGGGTTTTGGGTTTAGGGTTTGTGGTATACCGCTCCTTGTAACCCTAAACCCTTTTGTCCCCCTTAAGTAGATAGAGTATGGCTTTGGGTAAACTATGGTAAGATCCTCATATACCACATATTCTATCTACTTAAGGAGGACTATAAACCATTAAAGCATCTCAGGAGAATCCGTCTCCAAGTAAGCAGAAGCAAGCCAAACGGCATTATGGCTACATCTGCGGATCTACCTACTATACAGAATATTGGGATTATATAGGGATAATGCAAAAGAAAGTGGAAACGATTATGATGGGGTTATATTGGTCTGCATTCCTACATTTGCAGAACTACCTACAGTATAGTATATTGGGGTTACATATAGGGCTATATATGGATTATGGAAAAGCACTGGAAATTACTATATAGTATATTGGGAGTGTGTAGGGATAATGGGGTACATTCTGCTGTGCTGCATCGAAATCCTCACTCTTCCCCAGCAAAATGTAATCACCTCCCCCTAGGCATCAAAACCCCTCATCCCTCATGATATACACCCCAATTATTGGATGGTGGAGAGGTTCATTTTTGGGGCAGGGGACAAGGCCCAGAAAGAAGCCTTTCAAACAATTGTGGCAATGCTTAAGTGGGCGTCCCAGAACCTGTCATTGGCCAAATATCGTACTCCCACATATCCAGAGGGTCCCCCAGGAGCCCACTACTTTTTGAGAAAGGGGCCAAAACATCTACCAATATTGGAGATTCGATCGACAAATGCATGGGAACTGTGCTCATATCAGGATTTATAGGGTTTGGCTATAGGTTATGAAGCTTGGGCTGTTGTAGGGGCTCAGGATTTGGGGCGTAGGTTTAGGATTCAGGTTCAGTTCTGTTTTGGATGGCTTGGGAACCCTTGCTTTAGATGGCTTGAGCACCCGTGTGAGTTTCTGATTTTCGCAGATTTTCTTTTGGCGGAAGTCACGAAGCAACATATCGACAAGGTAACTCCCAGGGATGCTTTCACTTACGCGGTTTAGGGTTTAGGGTTTAGGATTCGCGGTTCTTGGGGTTTCCCAAAGTTGGGCAGGGCGGGCGGGGGGCAGGGGGGCACGGGGGGTGGGGGGGGAATTTTAAGGAATGTAATACACATTCATTTATACTGTTTTTTGGGAATGGGAAACTGACTATCTCTACATAACCCCTTCCCCCTATGTATATATATATATATATCCACTTCATGGCCCGACACTTTAGTTCGTAGACGTGCGGGCTAAGCCATTGACAGGTGCGTGCCAAGCTTCAGCATGGCGTGCGCGGAACTGGACACGAGGGGTCACAGGGTTGGGGTTGGGACTTGCAATCTGGGGTTTAGGGTTTAGGGTTCCTATAGTTAGGGTTTTAGTTAGGGTTTAGGGTTTAGGGTTTAGGGCAAAAAGCAGATGGCACATTTTTGCTCTCCAACTTTGGGGTTTATCCCCGAGGATTCGCAGTTGGGTGGCAAGCGCAGACTCTTTGATCTGAAGAATGCGCAGTTTAATGATCTGCTTTGTTGTTTTTATTTATAACTACTAGGCTGACTGTCCCTCTGCATGTTGCAGTTATTCCGCATAAGGGGAAGTCTCGAAGAACCGCATCGCACACGTTATCAGTCAGTCCCTAAGCTCCGAACGCCACACCCTTAACCTCTAAGCCCTTACACACTAATCCCTGCACCCCAAAACACTACAAACCGCAAGAGAGCTCAGAATCTCAGAGCCCCAACGCCCTGACAAAATGTGCGGATTCTTGGTCATGGGGTTTAAGGTTTAGGGTTTAGGGTTATGTGTTTTTTCTACAGGGTCCAGGTACCCAAATACTGGGGTCTCAGGTCCCAAGCGCTATCATTTGAATGGCCTCTGATACCTGAAGCTCTGTTATTTGGATTGGTGCTCGTGTGCTTTTCTGTTTGTAGGTGAAGAGGCCACAAAGCCAGCTTGTGCTAGCGTACCTTTTTTCACAAGTTCGGACGGTACTTCTTGTTTTACATTGTTTTGGTGCATAGCCTTTACACTTGTCCTTTGTATCGTTTCCTGTCTTGTTTCCCCATGCCTTTTGAAAGTTGGTATCGCTTTCCTGTGCTCTGACTTGCTTTCCTGTGCTCTGACTTTAGTCATCAGGCATCTAGACATGTAGTTATGACAGTGCGGCTTTTTTGGGGACGTTGACTATGTCGTGTTACCAAGGAACGGGCTGGAGAGGGGTAACAGCAACCCAGTAGCTGGAACTATAAGATGAAGACTTACATAACAGCTGTCGCGAGCTTCTTAGCGTGCTTCCATATGCTTACCCATATTTTCCTGGTAATCCAACGGACTAAAGCGGCACATTTCTTTGGGGAACTCCTATGGTGTGAACTTGCTCGGGTACGCCTGCCATTCTCCATTTCTTGATTGTGCTCGCCACGTAGACTGCTGAATACAGACCTGCAGACGCCGTAAATGCCACTCCTTGCGTCGAAGTCATTGCCCAAAATTGAATCAGCAACTCGACGTGTGTCCAAAAAGCCCTGTGTCTTCCCTCTAGACGCTCAATGCCACCACCATGAAATCCGTTAAGTAGGATAAGTCTGTAAAGAACTTGGTCAGTATGCTGTACTTTCAAAGCCCAAGACACTTTGATCTAGAGCCATCCATCTCACTTCCGCCCGGGGTCATGGACTGACATCTAAAGCTGCATTCGGATGTATAACTGTAACCCCAGTTATGTACAGCTTGATGGATTCTACTTACTAATTCATGGGCAATTGGTTTCAAGCTGTAGGAAATTGAGGTGCCAGGTATGCCTCAGCAGCTGGGTAGCTAACCTTCTGGTTTCTGTGTCATTCTACCATGACCCCAAGGCTTCATGTAGGTACTGTTTTTTTGACGTTGCGGTCCAATGTAGGTATTGTTTCCAGAAATAGAGCCCTAGGGTAATTTGGAGGTTAAAATTTTCTGGCCTGGGAACTCAGCAACTAGGAGGTCCTCTTAAACCTCGCAGGCTCAAGACGGTGACCTCACGACAGAGTCTAAGAATCCAAATCCTTAAGACCTGTATCACTACAAATGACAAAATGCCCAGGTCATACCCTCCCCATGATCCCATGTGTCTAGAGGCTTTTCGGGAACCCCAACCAGGGAAGTACAATAATAGCTACCACATGAATACAGTTGGGCTTTAGGGTCAGGCGCTTATCGTATGTCTGCTCACGTCCCCTGGGCCCACTTTCTCGCAGAGCTTGCGGGAGTCCAGATGCACAGAAAGCTTCTGGTTACAGTCAGCAAGTTGTCGACGTTTGACAAATCCTGGCTGTGCATCTTAACTCGCCAAAAGCTTGGCAAGCTCCGTTCCTGTGGCGCTGTTCCTGCGGAGAGCCAGGCACACTAGCCTCCATGGCATGCTGGGGAGGCCGGAGGCCACAGATGCTGGGGGAGACATGGACCTGTGCCGGGACACGGGCGGTGAGTATGCTGATATGGCGCTTACTCATGATGATTGCCCTGCTGGTGCTGACTGTCGCTTTTCTACATGAAGACAATGGCATGTAGACCTTTACCAGAACTGACGACATCCAGTCCGAGCTTTCGTCATGGCTCTCCTACTTGCAGTTCGAGTTTGAGGGTCTATGCATTTAATTGTTCATAGAGCAATGGGTTTATGATGGTTTCCACGCCTTCTTCCAACATCTTCATTAGAGTTTTCTAGATGTCCACACGAAACTTGTCTCGCATCAGAGAATCTCCAGAGTATTTGGGGTCAAGCCTCTGGGGTTGTTTTCAGGGCAGCTGCAGTGGTGTGATCCGCTGCAGGGCGGACAAGCCTGCAGCGCAAGGGCTTACGGCTCCTGAGTTCGGGAATGGGGGGTTATATCAGAGCTGCTTGTTATGCCCTACATCTACATATCGACTATCAATTCCCAACTTGGGTGGCTGGCGCTACCACAGCCTGTTTTTCATACAATCCTTATTTGCATTTGATTGTCCAGTTGATGCTCCACCTTTGGGATTATAGCCCTACATCAGCCCCATGTTACCTTAACCCTTACACCATACCTTGCAAAGCTGTATGGCAATGCAAGTGGCAAGCCCCTGAGCCTAAATCCTAAAACCTGGTGTGTGCTAACGCAGCTTGTTGTGTATCCAACCAGCCCCATGACACTCTAAACCCTGCACCGCAACCCCTGGAGCCTAAACCCTGAACCCCAAAAAACCTTAAACCTGGAGCCTAAACCCTAAGCCCTAACAACCCTAAACCCTTGGGGCCAAAACTCGAAACTAGCTACCCCCCCGCGGAGGATCCTTGCATTCGGCAGGATGCCGCCGCGAACCGCACTTCACCGAAACTTGGAATGCATTTATAGCCCCCCATTAAGTAGCTAGAATATGCGGTATATGAGGATCTGATTAACTATACTATACCCAAAGCCATATTCTATATACTTAAGGGTGACTATAGGGTATAGGGCGT